AGACTGATTCCTAAATATTTCAATTTCTTGGATGTTATTGTGAAAGGTATGGTTTCCTTAATTTCTCTCTCAGTCTGTTTGTTGTTTGTGTATAGGAATACTATCGATTTTTGGGTACAACCTCCTAGCTATGTTGGAGCAAATTAAGACCACGTGGGAAAGATATCCAATGACCTATAGAAACAGGCAAATGGGGAAATGTCGCTGAGCAGAGGCAACTGAGAGGAGAGCACTAAGAGCAAGCTGAAGCCCAGGCAAAAGCCAAAAGGAAACAGAATTGAACATGGAAAACCTAGAAGGCTAACCGGTGCTCATCCACCCAGTAAAGTGATGTGGCGGGAAAGTGGCTCAGGTCTTAGTTGTCATAATTTAGGCAAATGCTACCCATGGTAACACCTCTTTCCTCTGAAGATTCTGACACTGGTGGTCTGAGCACCTGTTCCTCTCACCAAGAGGGATTGAGAAGCCAGTAGGAACCCTTTCTAGAAATGGGAAGGATTGGCCCATCTTGAGGCAGAGTGGAGGACTGGCAGATGGATATGGTTTTACCGTACCTCCAAAATCAATTTTCCCTGGGAAGGAACAAAGTATGCTGGAAATACCTTTTGGGTCTCTCATTTCTGAAAATATGAATCCAAGGTTAGTTCCTGTGTCTGGGGGGATGATTGATACCTGAAAAGGTGAGCAGTTCTTCCCCACAGCCAGCCTAGGTACTGTGGCTGTGGTGTCAAGTCTGAACAAAAAGCTCTCTGTAGACTGTTATCCTGACTATCTTTTCCCCGGAATATATCGATCTCCAGGCCAACTGTGCCACGCTTTCTCTTCCCAAGGACCCTTTAGATGGAGACACTGTGAGTGAGAGGGACCCATAACAGAGCACTTCCTCTCTCCATTTCAGTTTCTGATCTCTCTCCATCTACTGATGCCAGTGGCTTCCCGCTTATGGAGTTGTCCCTGAGTGACAGACTCTCCCCTTCAAGATTCCAGTGCCTGTTTCCATCAGATGCCCACAGCCTATGTACGTTAAGAAGCCTGTGGGAAAGGCAGCAGTCTTGTGAAGATGCAGATTACCTGCACATCTGTCTGGGTTTAGTTAAACATGACTGACTAATTTATCTTGCAGTGTGCGATTAACTTTGCAAGTTGACTTGGCAATTTTCTCTGCTCAGAGAATATTTAGAATAGATGGTGTGTATAGCAATAGAGGAAAAACAAGATGTTATTAATTTTTCATTTTCAAATGTGAGATTGACTATAGAGCTCACATGTTATTCCCCTCAGAATATTATACCACATGCTTTCTTGTTTAAAGTGGTACAGTGTCAGAAAAGTGCAGGCTTAATCCCCTAGAGCCCAAGACTTGGGACAAATGTATTAGTGAGCTTCTTCCTGGAATAAGACTTGGTATGAAGGCAATCACATGAATCCCTGCTTTTAGCCACAGCTACTTCCCCTCAGATCTGTGAGCTTAGCTTAGCACGAGATGATGGATCCAGACTGGCATGGACTTATTTTCTTCATTGTCATCCATCTTAAAATGCTGAAGGGAAGGAAGGACATAGATTTGAATATCAGGATACCCTGGTGAACCTCCAGAAAGTTAGAAATCCTTTTCACCCAAAAGTATGTAGTGCAGCATTCTGCTGTGGTGGAAATATTCTGGATCTATGCTCTCCATTGTGAAGGCAGCAGGGCAATCGTGACTATTCAGCATGCATAATGGGACCTGAAACTGAGGAACTAAATATAATTGATTTATATTCAGCTAATTGCAACTTATTGGATAACATAAGTATCCATCTTCACCTTTTTCTTGGGTAGACTAAGCCACGGTTGCGTGGGTGCATTAGTCTTCCTGATTTTCTGAAGGCTGTGATGCTTGCTCTAAGGTTACTTATAAATCTTCAATTTAAAAAACAATAATTGTCAAAATAAAAATTAGAGCTGGTACATTCCTGAGTAATTACTGTATGCCATGTACTTTGCTAAGAACTTTACACACATTGTCTGATTTATAGTCACTGAATGATGCTATTATCCTGGGTTTATAGGTGGGGAAGTCAAGGGGCCCAGGGGTTAAGTGACTGCCCTGCAGTCCTAGCCAGTGAGTGGCAAAGCTGAGATTCATTCCAAGCAGTGTGACTCCATACCTGTTAGATCTTCTGCCAGTCAAGACACTCTCAGTGCCATTTCCTGGTGGGTGTTTAAAAATACAGTCGGATCCTGATTGTTAAAAGCAATGCAGTGTCTTGAGGTCATTAAGAAATTGTGTGTAAATACTGGGCACATATTCAGTCTGAGCTTTGTAGAGTTTGAAGTCTGGATCCTAGCTGGAATGAAGGTAACCGTTACAAATAACAGCACTCAGGTTGCACAGCTCAGCATGGGCCTGGGCACCTCTCATGCAGGTCAGAGGAGGAGGAGAGATGTCTCCTGCCTGAGATGTAGAAAGCTGGATCTTCTGCTGGGCACCAGGCAAAGAAGGATAGATTTGATGGACATTCAGAAGTAGATGTTAAAAACAAGGAGAGGATCTATGTTTCACCCTTTTCTTTTAGAGAGCACAGACCTCTATGGGGCAAACAGGTAGGGCCTACTGTCTTCAGTTCAGTCAGGGCCTGTGCTGTGTGCTGGACTGGAGTTTGTCTCCTTCTCCATCATTGACCCTGTGCCCTCCTGGTCGCTGTGCTCTGCACCCTAGCATGCATTGCTCAACTTCTTAGCCATTTGTTCCTGTAGCTTTAGAATCTGGGGAAAAGCAACGTTTCTGCAATTCACTTCCTTATGCCCTTACTATGCTTTGGGACTTTTGTCTCTTCTCTCCACTTGCTAAGGGCCACAAAGGACATTGCTGGGTTTTCTGTGTCTTAATAACATCCCATTGCCTGGGAAGTTATCTCCTTTCTCTGCATTCTTTTCTCTCCTTTGGGATTTCTCCTCTCAAGTCTTATCCAACCTCGCAGAAGACTCTCAGATTGTTCACTCACCTCCTCACCTGCCTGCCCACCTATGAATCTGAATTTCCTCTTGTCCTTAGGAGCATCCATCTGCCTGAACTACTCTGCTACACCCTATGAAATGAACCAGATAGTAATGAATGGGATGAGACAAAAAGAACTCCTGCTGAGAAGACATTCCTCTGTTAATGGTGGAAAATCAGAATGAGTCCATAGGAAGGCTGGCCGAATAGGCCAAATCCAAAAATCCAAACAATAGGCAAAAACAAAATTGGGAGCCTGCTACTCCTGGGATCTTTTGGTGTCCTGTCTCCATAGCAGCATTAGCTATCCATAGGTAATCTCTTGGCATGAGTGTAGTAAAAAATGTAATTTCTCTAGCAAAACTGAACTTTTATGGTGTCATCAAAAGGGATCTGTGTCAATCTTTGGAGGATACTGTACAACCATGTGGCCTGTGCAGCTTGCTTTAACAGCTGGGAGGCAGTCCAAATTCCAGTACCAGCAGCCCTGCCCATCTTGGGAATTTAGATTTTTTTCTGTCCCACTCTGTTCTTGTTATGGCAGCATCCTTTGGGGCACTTTAATTGTGGAGGGGACAGTTACATCATGGTTGGCCAGGAAAGTTGCTTTGAAAGGCTTTGGCAATAACCTCACACACTCAGGGCAGGAAGCCCAAGGACTCACCAGTGTTCTGTTTGTTTTTCTCCAGCCTGCACGGACAAGGAGCTGAGGAACCTTGCTTCCCGGCTGAAAGACTGGTTTGGAGCTCTTCATGAGGATGCAAACAGGGTCATCAAACCTACCAGCCCTGACACCGCCCAAGGCAGTAAGATGACTCTATTTTTGCTAATGTATTTCACTATAAATATTACATTTCTTGATTTAATAAACATTATTGAGTTAGCAGTAGCATTTGGAAGTCAAAAAAGAAACACTACATTAAAATATGTTTCAAGTTTTTAAATATTAACATATGAAGAAAGGGATGATGCTTTAGAACCAAGGAAAATTACAACATATTTTTATAACCAATTACAAGAATATATTTAATTTATAGATTTTAGAAAATACATTAAATTTATGGAAAACTATAAAATTCTACCATTTTAGCAACTGTAAGCATGCTATGATACATACTTTGAGCTGTTTTCTTCATCATATATAAAAATATGTTTGCCTATGATTATAAAATTTGAGTCACATTTGAAAGATTGTTTTATAATTTTTTATTTATAACTATAACTGTCCTCTCCTGTTGCTGAGTAGTAAGTACTCTGCTTTGTAATATCTACATAGAATCCTAGTGTATGGATATAATTATTTGAGTAGACCTATATTTGGGGATCATTTATGTTGTTTAGTGATATAAACAGCACTGTGGCAAGCATCTTTAATGATATACTATTGATATTATACTTTGTGCATGCTCTCTAGATTGCATTTTGTTTTCCCTAAAAAGTCCTGGCCACTTGTCCCCCTTCCTCACCATTAACATACCTCCGCCTCTGAGAGGTACCACTGTTTTCAGCTACTGAGTGGCGGAATTCTCTCCCATTAGCAGCTGCAGAGGAGACTCGGAGTGGGTCTTACACTTGCTTGCACTCTGATGGGGTCTCTCCATGCATTCACCTCAGGGATGGCGAGCAATGAGCTTCCCCACCTTGTGGCCAACAGGCACAGAATGATTACGGATCAACACTATCACTGAAATACATGCAGTTCTGCCACAATCCATTAGCTGTAGCATTGTCATGTTACTTGGTTAAAACACAAAAATGCATTGTTTACTATTTTGCCCCATCCCTGATCGCACATTTGTTTGGGTGGAATACATCATCAACATCCGGATTCAGCATGAGCAGCACTAGTCTCCAATCAGAAGAAAAGGATCTCCAACCAGGTGCAGTGGTACAGTCCTACAGTCCCACCTACTCAGGAAGCTGAGACAGGAGGAGCTCAAGAGTTTGAGGCCAGTCTAGACAATAAAATGAGAAAAAAAAAACAAAAGAAAACTAAAATCTCTTACCTCTTTGGTTGTTATTTGCTCTGCCTAGCTTTTGAGAGATACCAGTGGGGAATACTGACGTAGGGATAATTACTTTAATTGCTTGAATTTTTACCTTAAAGAGCTGGAATAGAGGGGTGGGGAGAAGGAAATAGAAAGACTGGAGATGTGATATGTACCTCTACCAAGTCCGCACGGTGAATGTAATTATTATGTACTGAAAACATGGAATAATAAAGATTAAAATAAATTTAGAAAAATGAAAGCAAACACTGAATTGGGGCATGTGTGGAAACAGGTAGTGATTGCTCCCTGGGATCTAAAGCGTTCTAAGGGTGGCTCTTTTCCATGATGGTGTCTGTAGGAAAGGTAAATCAAGATAGTTGTTTGTTTTCCATTCTTGCTAGAGGTTCCTTGGGAGTTTGTGGACAATTAATTCGCAGATAGTAGACAAACTTCTTCCCCGGGTCCTCAAGGAGTAGACGTGCCCTTGAGTTTTCCGAACAGCCTTTCAGCAGGGAGCAGATTGACAGGAGGAGAGCAGCCTCCTGCAGCCCTGCAGTCCCCGGAGTCTCCTTCTACAGACAACTGGGGAGCCTGCAAAGGACTTGTTTGGCCAGGAGCAAAGTGAGTCCCCAAAGAGGCTTTTGGTTTGATGTCCTGAAGCAAGTGGAGGGAAGGAAATATAAGGAATGACGCTCAGTAAGCCCACAAGGCCAAGGGAGAGAATGACAGTTTTATCAGCCTGGAGTCCTGAAAGGAAGAGCTGAAACCTCGCTCAGGCTTGCACACTGGAGGCCCCTGCAGTCGTCTACACCCTATTCTAGACCCTTTTGAATGGGGGAAGAGTATCCTGACTTACTACTTTCCCAGTAGCTTGGCACTTCTTTCTGGCTGTCAGCCATGAACTCCTCTTGTATGTAAAAATGTTAATATCATACACAATTGATTCCAATTATACATTCTATGCACAAGTATACAGTAGTGCCTAAGGACATTATTGGTATAGAGACTGTTTGCAGTCAAGATGTTCAGTCAAAGAAAGGGCCACATTATGTCCCATAGCCCCTTTTGGAATATGGAGGATTTTTAAAAAATATGTTCTAAAGTATATTTAGTGTTTCTGTTTTAATATTTAGATCTTTGATCCATTTTGACATCAGTGCATGGTGATAGACATGGGTCTAGTTTTAGTCTTCAGCATGTGGAGAGCCAGTTTTTCCAGCACCATTTATTACAGAGACTGTCTTTCCTCCAGTGAACATGTTTGGCCCCTTTGTCAAAGATAAGGAGGCTGGGTGTGTTTGTAGTTGTGTCTGCGTCTTCTAATCTGTTCCACTGATCCTCAGGTCTGTTTTTTTGACAGTACTATGCTAATTTTATCAAAGTAGCTTTATAGCATAATTTTAAGTCAGGGATTGTGTTCCCCCCTACCTTGCCTTTGTTGCCCAGGATTGCTTTTACTATTCTTGGTCTCTTCTGGTTTGTATCAGCTCTAATTTTTTAAAATTATTTTTTATTCTCTGTAAAATTTAAAAAAAATAAAAGTGTTCTAAAGTGTCAAGATTAATAAGTTTTAAAATGCCAATATTTGTTGGAAAGGGTTAACCCAAGGTAACTAGAAAACTTCTCACAACAAGTATTTCTACTGATATTACGTGGCTGTTGTGGCAGGTTACTGAAGGGAGCAAGGGTGTCTGTCTGCAGGGAGTTTGCAGTCTTACTAGCAGTTGTCAGTAATGAGGGAAAGCACAGGCTTCTACTGAGAGCTCAGCAGTGCTGCTGCTGAACTCACTGTGTTGCCTCTGGACAGTGACATCCTTCCTATATAAAGGTCCTGCTCTAGGCAGGGTAGGCACACCGTTCCGTGTCTTACATATTGCTGATCAGACAAGGGATCCTGGCAACAAACATAGGCACCACTGAAGTGGGCCATCAAGACTGCCCATGGCAATTACTGTATTGTCCTCTCTCACCAGCTTCCCTCGACATGCACATCCTCAGTATGGAAAGCTCCATTAAGGTAGAGGGGAGCCTTGTGAGAAGAGGCACTGAGAGTCTGGACTCAGAACTGGGCTGCCTGAGTTCGAATCCCAGTTCTAGTGTTGTGTGACCTTGAACAAACAACTCAAGTTTTGAACCTTATTCTCAGACCTGTAAAATGGAGATGATATGGTACCATTTAGTAGGACTGCTGCAAGAATTTAGTGAGATAATTAAAAATAAAAATAGTGCTTAGAAGAATGCTCTATGTATAGCAACACAAAAGTTAACTTTTATCACTAGTATGCAAAGAAAATCAGTCCTAGAAACCCAGTTTACAGAGTAACCCAAGATTGTACTACGCTGTTGGCTCCAAAGGAAAGGTAAGTTTTAGATGTGGGCCATGCCTTCCCTGGGGTTTGTAGCTGTCTCAGTATCTCTGGTGTAGAGATAAGTGTTATTATTGAAAGGCATAGTTTCTATTTTGGAAAGAAATAATTCTTTAAAACAGCTATTTTCCCTCCCATGGGGAAATGAGAAAGAAATTATTGTCTTAGTTCATTTGGGTTCCATCTCATGCATCTCTTTAGGGGATTACAGAAAAGAAGGATGGGAACAGAAGTGGCACCTGGCTTGTTTTGCCATTAATGCTCAGACTGTTTGGATTTAACAGTCCTCTGGGATATAATCAGTGCTTCTGAACTATGCTGCATAGTTTTATTTCACTGGTATATTTTATGCAACCTTTTGTTTTCATTTTCCCAAGTACAGTTCTCAGGATAACTTACATTTCTTATTCACCATGCTGTGTTTTTCCTTTTAGAATACCCATTTTAAGCAAGTCTAGACAATGAAACCATATTCACATCACAAACACGGGCATTGGGGATTTGTTCCCTTTAGAATGTATTTTCCTCAAATACTGACTTTTGTGCATTTTAATGTGTTTAATTTAATAAACAACAACAAAATATTCTTGCATGTCACTGAGACTATTCAGGCAAGGCCTCAGGGTGGCAAAGTCCAGGATGAAGGGCGGCTGAGATGTGCATTTCCTCCACAGGATTTGACACCAGCATCCTGCCCATCTGCAAGGACTCCCTGGGCTGGATGTTCAACAAGTTGGACATGAATTACGACCTTCTGCTGGACCACTCAGAGATCAATGCCATCTACCTGGATAAATACGAGCCATGCATCAAGCCTCTCTTCAACTCTTGTGACTCCTTCAAGGATGGCAAGCTCTCTAACAATGAGTGGTGCTACTGCTTCCAGAAGCCTGGAGGTAAGGCCAGAAAGAGATGGGATCCAGAGCCCAGGGTAGCTATTCTGGGCTTGGGAGGCCTCCTTAATACATAGCAAGGTGGCAAAAGAAAAACACAGCTAGAGGGGCCGGGGATATAGCTCAGTGACATAAGCTCCTACCTGCAAGTGCAAGGTCCTGAGTTTGATTCCCTGTACCAAAAACAAACAAACAAACAAAAAACCCACAGCTACAGAATAAAAAATTCAACCCAGTTAATGGTAGGTCCTCAAGTTAATTTCTCCTCAAATATCTTTGGTTTTGACTTGGTATATTAGAAAACTAAGTACATAAGCAAGGAGTCTCATATTTAAGTTGTTCCTTCCTTTGGAAAAATCTCCCATTTTATAATATCTCAGTATATTCATCTGTAGAATGGTATAAAGAAACCTTCCCTACATAATTCCCACAGGGCATTTTGAGATTCTCAATGTGAAAAATACTGTACAAATGTAAGAATATCATAATTCCTATTGTCACACAAACGTTCCAGGTTCCCTTTAGAGAAAGATACTTGTTTAGAGGTTTATACTTAAGATTTGGGGGAATATATGAAAGGATAAACCAAAGTCAGACAGGAGAGTCATCATATAGAGACATTCAGAGTGGGAACAGGAAGATTCTCAGGAGTCCATTGTTAGGTGCTGTGACTTCCTATGGAGCACCATGGGTTTGGATTTAGAGCCATCCATCTCAGCTTTCTGGCATTGTGACCAAGAGTGACAGTTCAAGGCACCAGCAGAAACTGGCTTGCATTTGACATTCAATCCCACTACCCAGAAACAACCTGGCCCAGCATGGGTCAGGTGTCCCCAGTCAAGGGAGGGCTGGCCGGCCTCACCCATAAGAAAGGAGGAGAGCTACTACTAGTATTTAGATTGTGCATGTCTGCTTAGATGATACGAGCATACACCAGAATGTCAGCACTGCCAGAGGGCCTGAAGTGACAGTGAGTACGTGTGTGAACATTTATAGCATTGTAATAGGTGGTCCTGGAACAGAATTACTAGTCAGAAAGCAGGTTCATCTTCAGATCTGAGCATTCTTCCCAATTTGCACTCCCAAGAAATTGTACTAGTTCTCAGTCTCACCAGAAATATCTGAGAATACCTATTTTTCCATGGCATTATGAGACTTTATGATCATCGCTTATCAATAGGCCTTATTTCATTTCTTTTACCCTGCATGTTGAACACTTGTACTCCTCTTTGACACACTTGTATTTCTTTAAATGTCTCTTCTTTGTACTTTTTTTTATTTGACTCTTGTATTTTTGTTTTAGTAGGAAATTAACCTCTTTTTTAGTTTTAGTTTTAGTAGGAAATTACCTCTTAACACAGGTTAAGAAAATTAGAACTTCCATAGTCAAAGGTATTACAAATATTTTCCCTACTTTAAATTTTGTATACTTTTTACTAGGGAGATATTTTAAATTTTAGCAAAATGAAGTTGTTCATTTTTTTTTTTTTTATTCTCTGGCTTGTTTGAAGCTATAAAGCTTACACTAAGCTTAGAAAAGTATTTCTCACTTTAGATTGTAAAGCAATTTTCTTATGTTTTCCTTAATATCTTTGGTTTTTATTGTTCATTTAAATTTTTTATCTCTCTAGGCTTTTTTGTGTCTATGCACAAGAAAGGTTTCAGCCTCTTTCGTCAGCCCTGAAAATGAATATCTGTTGCCTTTCTGTCATTTATTGAAAACTTATCTCCCTCCCATCAATGTGAAATACCATCTGCAAATGCACACCCATGTGTGCCCCCATACATCTTATGCATTTTTCCGCATACTCTGTCCTGTTTATCTTGGTATTCATAGATCACTTCCATGTATTTAAATCACAGTTGTTACTTAGTATGTCTTAGTATCTGCTAGGCCCAGTCTTTCTTGCCATTAATCTTTTTTTTTCCAGAATTTTTTTTTTCTGGGTATTCATATGTTTTTCTCCCTCTGTAAACTTTAAAATCAGTTTTTTACAATTAAAAATAAGTTCCTGCTAACTATCAAACACTGAATTTTTTTTATCTTAGAACAGTATTTGTGTCACCCAGTGTTACATTTTAAAGTTTTGTTCTCACCAATATTGCATTTCCCTTGTGTTATTCGTGCCCCTGGAAAAGAACTGTTTTTCCTGTTATATTTCACTAGTGGTTGTTTCAATCTTAATCTTGTTTTCAATGCCTTTGCTAAATTCTCATTTTGTTTATAAGTTATGGTGGTTGGTTTGCTTGGGTTTTCAGGTGTGCAATCATTTCATCTGCAAATAGAGATCATTTTTTTCTTTTTCAATTTTTATACCTCATTTCTTTCTGTTTCTAATTATATCATCTAGTAACTATAAATTGATCTTAAATAATACCTATGTTTTGTACTTTTTTGATAAATACCTTAGTGATGCAACATTAAGCTTAATGATAGCTTTAGGCTTCAATTCATCTAAAATTGTGTGTGTGTGTGTGTGTGTGTGTGTGTGTGTGTGTGTTTCTTGTGTTTCTTAAAGCACAGAGCCTGTGTTTTAATGATGCATCTCCAGCTGCAGTGCCAGGGTGAGGTGACACAGCTCAATCAAGCCATGGACTGGTCACTTTGCTAACTAAGGTTGACCCTCAGAATGGGCTGCCCCTTCTGCCACTGCTCTGGGAAGCCAGGATTCTTCACTGGGATGTGGTTGTGCATGACACTTGGATTCATTTAGCATAGTAATTCATTGAAGTTCTTTACATCTTCTTTTTACAGTGTGGATTTCTCTCATTTTCTTAATTTTTTCATTAGATCCTCGCTACCTCTGTCGCTGCTCCATCACCAGTTGCAGGATTTCTATTTCATGTACATACTAATTGAATTTATTTTATCTAAAAACTTGAAGAGGATGAAAAACATGATGATGAAGTCATACTTAGTGTTTTCTGTTTATTAACGTGTATTTTTGAGATCCAGATTTAGCTGATGACCATAGATATTGATTGCTGATATTTTTATTATGATTAACTTGTTGATTTTCCACAGGGTCCTGAATGTCTTTTTTGACTCCAGACAAATTTAAGAGAGCACTCTTAAAGTCTTCACGTTGGGGAGATTCTTTGTTAAATAACTTCACTATTTTTTTTTTTTTTTTGCTAAATTTGAATTTCACAAGTATTTTTTTCTTCAATTCTCATGGGAATTGCCTTCTTTCAATTAGTCTTTGAATGTTTGTAATATTTCTGTTTTGTTTACCCTTGAAAAACCAAGTATAAACTTCCTGGAATCAAGTTTTTTTTTTTAAAACTCTACTACTGGAGTTAGCTACAAAAAATGTGAAAGCATTAAAATATTTTGTTTTATTCATGATGTAAGCATTTTGCCTGGAAACCAAAAGAATTTTCTGTGTGCTTTTCAAGGACATTAATTCCCAGTATGTGTCTTAATCTTGCTTAGCCTATGTCGTTGTCCCTAGACTCAGAGTAATCTATGGAAATAATGGTCATCTGCTTAGCAACAACACTGTGTGTTATGAAATTTTTATCCAAAGTTTTCTTGAGTAAATTTAGCTGGATTAATTTTTCCTTATCTTTAAATAAGTAGAGTTTTAAAAATTTCTGTGCAACAATTTGAAGGATCGTAAAATTGGAAACACTTCACCATGAACTGTCTGACCTCATGCTTACATGATTTTGCTTTTCCTCCTTTTTAGAAGCAGTATTCTAAACACCTATAATTTCTATTCTTTCTGCACAGCTACAAAGATGAAAATTTCTACTTGCAAAATAGGGATAATATTGCTACCTATTTTATATGGTGTTTTTGAAGACTAAAGACACATGAAGTTCTAACAATGGCTGGTATCTTCTAGAAATTCAGCAAATGGTAGCTGTCATAGAAATTCTCCCTTTTATAATCACACACAGAATTTGTTTCTCCTTTTCTATTGTTTTCTGTTTGGGTCTTTCTTCTTTACTCTGAAGGCATCTAAAAGTCAGAAGTCAGTAAATGTATTTGATAACCAGTTTCTCTTACAGACCAAGCATCAAGACCAGGTGGCATAGTGAAATCCGCAGGGTAATGGGAATTTGATTTCTTCATCTATGGGTATGGGGCCTATAGAAAGATGCAGTATGAGTCTACTGTCAGAACTGAGAGAACAGGACACGCTGCCAACACCAGGGCGACCATGAGCAAACAGTGGAATCTCCCAGTGACAGCAGACTTGCAAAGGCATGTCATGGTCAATCTCCAAAGAATTAGTGAGGTCATTTGTCATTGTGCTTGGAAAGGAAGTAAGTTCTTTTTTAAGGAGGGAAGAGCACCATGTTCTTCCCTGCACCTCACTTTTAGCCATGTGTCTCCCTGTAACTTCGTTTGCTGGTACATATAGTATACATCTTAGAACTGTGGAGGGGGCTGGGGATTTAGCTCAGCGGCAAAAGCGCTTGCTTGGCAAGC